CCAGTATGAAGGGTAGTTTTACAGGTTAACTTGTTTTCAAATTAGCAACTCTATAAAAGCAAAGCTGTACAGCAGCTGTACTGACACTGCATGTTCTTTTTCATATCTAGTTATTTGGTTGTAACAGGCAGTTAAGATAAAAACACTTGTAACACTGCTTAGTTTTTATGTATGGTAGCCCAGTTACATGACTACAACATTTTTCCACTACTTTTTTTACACTGTAAACTTGGTTTAGAAAGTTATCTACCAAGATTTTGTGATGTTGTATAGAAGTATGTATTGTTTGAGACTACAGTCAAATGTATTTGTTTGAGATAAGAGTATATCCTCTTACTGAATCTTTTCCTGCACTTATTGTTTGATTTAATATTTCCAGTATAGTGGAATGACCATCATGAAAACATAGCATCCTATAGCTCTTTCTATATAATTCCATTCATATATTCACACTTTTATTTTTGTAAGTTAATGCAGAAGACAATACATATTTACATCTATTTCTGATACTTCCAATTTTAAGGAATAATCATGGAGTCTATACTGTTACATAGAAGATGCTAAAAAAATACTTAACAGGGAGTTTAACATTATTCATGCAACAAAGGAGCTGAGGTTTATTGCATTTTTAACAATATATTAAAACTCATGCAAGCATTTATTTCTTTTATTATAGATGTAAAACAATGACCAGTTCCTAAAGTATTGAAAGATAAAAGTCAAGGAAAAAATTCTCAGTTCATAGTGCCAAAGTATTTTGTTAATAATGATAAAATTCAATTAAAAAAAGATTACTCGAGTTATTATGTAGAATTGATGCTAAAATTCTATATTAGAAACAAGTATCAATTAATTGTGTTAGGTAGAATTAAAGAATAAACAGTCAGGCGGAATATTATTAAATGCATAAAACAACATGAGCCATATTCATCCATTTCAAAAATTGTAGCTTTTCTATCCAACTGTCTTCAAATCTGTAAATTCAGAAAAAACTCTAAAATTGTAATTTTTTAGCGAAAAGCATTTCCATCCTCAGAAAAATAAATGTTAAAAAATCTGATGTGCACACCACATGATTTCCTTGTATTGGAATATTAAATTAGAATACTAAATTATACGCATTTTTTCTTGCATTTCATTTAAACTTATTGGATTGAATTAAATCTACTTCTCCGACAGTACATAAACCACAATAGAATAAATGCATTCTTTAAAATTCACTCTAGTATTTGTTTACCATTGCGACACTCTGGCGCTAGATTCACTTAACAGTATTAATAATTATATAACAGTTAACTTATATAATAATTTTATAACGGAAACTAAGTTAACTGTTATATAATCCAATAATTATATAACAGTTAACTTATCTATTTCGTTCATATTATAACTCATAATGCACAAAATTTATATCATTTAAAGAATAGAATTATCTAATCGTTGCCACATGTTCTATTCAAATACTATAATAAAGCTAGAATGATGTATAAAAGAAATTAAGCAAACAAAACAAAAAAGAAACAGTTTTTCACAGACGATTGAGTATTTTTCATTTAATTAATTCAGTTCTCACTTCGCGAGAAGGCAAAAATACATAAAAACTCAAAATATCTATATTAAAAATTACGAAGTAAATCTTAAACGCTTATTTCCTCGAAAAAATTCCAGAAAGGATTAAGCATGTTTTAAATAATAAATGAAGGCGTTATCTTTGTTGTTGCGAAGCTAAGTTTCTCTAGATTGGCAACAAATCCACTAGTCTCCTGTTTCAAATGTAAACATCAATGGCCGCCATTAAAAAAGGCTTTGCAGCAAGTAAACAATTTTAAAATTGCTGATAATTCTAAAAATATTGCACACAGATTTACTAAAGGCATAAAATCCTTAACCGGAAGATAAAAACAACATAATTCAATCATTTTTAAAGCAAAAAATGTACAATTTACCAACATATAAGAGTAAAGAAACTGAGATCACTGAGCCGGGTAACAGAGTGGATATATATATATATATAAATATATTTATATACGTTTGGTGCGGCCGATTGCAACTAAAATATGAGGTGCACATCTACATGTTATAGCAGTCCTATATACAAGATTTCAACGTTCTGAGGCTACTCGTTTTTGAGTTATGCGAGATACGTACGTACGTACATACGTTCGTACAGACGCCACAAAACATTCTCTTCAGAATTAATTTTAAAGCAGTTTTATAATTTTTTTTGAAGGAAAAGAGTATTTTATTCTGTCCTTACGTACAGATATCACGCAAAAACATCGTTAAATTGCATTCGATAGCGGTCAAAATGGATATTTTCGTTGAAATATGCTGCCAGAAACTTTTTGCGATTACAATACTTCCTTTTTACTTCGTACAAGGAAGTAAAAAGAATTGAAATACAAAATTTGTGCTTTTTATGCAGAAAGTGAAAATAAAATCATTATTACGAGTACATTATAATTTAAATCATAAAAACAGATCTGCTTAATATTATTTTTTGTAACAATAACAATAGAATAAAAATATTTCTTTATTTTAAGTATGTCAAGTGATATTAAAAATAGTTTAAAATTTTGATTTTGACAACAGATGCCCCAGAGGAGTTGCATGAGATCTAAAATTTCTCTGAAACATAGTTTGAAAACCTTCAAACTACTTGAAAACTTCAAATTATGTGAAAAAAGGAAATGTAGATGTAAACAGCAGTGATTAAAAAGTTTTAATGACCAAAATATTTTCATTCCATGAGATTATTTGTTTATTTTGAAGAAGACACTGTAGAGACATTAGGATTTTTTTTGGAAGCTGAGAGACGTGAAAAACGAGCAATGCCCTTCCCGCGACTCGAACCATGGACCTCTCAAATATGTGTCGAGGCATGCTACGAAGGCAGGAGAAATACCTTATAACACAGTCCGATAATAAGATCACAAATAGAAGATAAGAATTTTTTTCTTCCGGAAAATTTTAAAAAAAATATTTATATTGCATATATACAAGCCTATACCATAAATTGTAACAAATATAAATTGTTGGATTATCTAATGAAAAAAAGTAATAAATTTAAATATTAATATATAAGAAGTAATAAATGCAAATATTTCAATTAATGAATGGATAAAAAATGGCCTTAAACAACCTCATGTTTAAATTATTTGAGAAATTAATGCCAACAAAAACATTATTATTGAAACAAATGTAAATAAACACAAATTGCCTAATGTATTTAATTTGAATATCTGTCTGGAACGAAAGGTGTAAACAGCCTTAATGTGCTTAATAACTCAGATTTGTAATGCATATATTTTTATTTCCAATGGTAGACAAAAGTATATATATATATATATACACTATCAAATACACATACACAAAAATATATCACACACTAAATAACAAACAGAGAATAAAGAAGCCTATTTAGTGCTCGAACATACTATTTAGTGCCTTCCAGTAACAGCCACAGAGAACCTGTACAAAGAGAGTTAAGGATTTTATGCCTTTAGTATGCATTTTGCAGGTGGTGGAGGTGTAGTGGCCCAGTTATTGCATGAGAAATAATTTTTTTTTTATTTCATATATTTGTTCATGTGTTTAATTATTTTATAAAATTAACTTTAATATTTTGTTAATATTCATATTTATATTTCTTTTATGCTGAATGTCAACAAGTAGTTCATATTTATATTTAAATTTCTTCATGCTGAACGGCAACTAGTTCTGATTCATGATTGCTAGGTTTTGGTTTCAAAACGTTGCTCGTAGCGTCGCATTTCGATAGCTGGAAAATAAAATGCAATAAACTTAGCTATTTGTTTAGAATTCATGCTGTTCCTCATCATAAATTAATTTTAAACATTAGTAGCCAAAGCCATAGAGGTTGTATCTTGTGCCTTTATTATAAAGGATGATCACAGAATTTTCAGATAGAAAGGTTTTGCTGAATAATGACCGGGTAAAAGATAAGTTATTATGATGAAATTAGCCTTTGGGTATCGGAAATGGATATGTAGTTGAAGAACGAAAGGCTTGCTTTAAATTACAGAGATTTCAAACACATTAATTTAATATATTTTTTAAAAATAGTTTAATAATATACAGTTGTGCCTCGCATAAAGAACGCCTCGCACAGCGAACGCTGCACGCAACGAACTTCATTTCATGATTCATACAATGAACTTCGTTTCACACAACGAAGTCGCTCGAGCTTCTACGACCGCTTTGCCCGAGCTTCCACGACTGTTTCGCCCGAGCTTCCACAACTGCTTCGCCCGAGCTTCCACGACTGCTTCGCCCGAGCTTCCACGACTGCTTCGCCCGAGCTTCCACGATCGCTGCCGATGTATTGCATCCTTCCGCGCAGGCACTGCAGGCATTCGTTAGTCACTGCGCTTAACTTAAGCACGTATCGCGGCAATACCTCCTTTTAAGTTAAACTCAATATCGTCCTTTTAAGTTAAAATCAATATTTTTTTATATCATGGCTTCTAAAAATGCAGGAAGGTGATTTCTGTTAAAATGAAACAGGAAATAATTAGAAGGAGTGAATGTGGGGTAAAACAGTGTGACCTCGTCAAAGAATTTGGCCTCAGCAAGATCACCATTTTCACCATTTTGACAAATAAGGATGCAATCAAATCAGCCAAAGTAGCCAAAGGAGTATCAAAACTATTTCATGAAAAACATAGGTCTTCAATCCACGAGGAAATGGAGAGGCTATTAGCGATTTGGATTAAGGACAGGCAGGTGAAAGGTGACGTAACAACCCAAGATATTAATCTGTCACAAAGCCAAGAGAATTTATGACGATCTAAAGAAAAACGTCCCTGGAAGTAGCAGCAATCAAGATAATGAAGAAGAATTCAAAGCCAGCAGGGGGTGTTTTTTTATATTTAAGAAAAGGTGTGGAATCCACAGCGTTACTATGCATGGTGGGGCTGGCAGTGCTGACAAGAAAGAAGCAGAAAAGTTCTCTATTAACTTTCAAAAATGTATTAAGGATGAAGGATACTGCCCACAACAAGTGTTCAATGCCCACAACAAGTGAAACGGGTCTTTTCTGGAAAAGAATGCCGAGCAGAACCTTCATTACAAAAGAAGAGAAGAAATTTCCAGGATACAAAGCGATGAAGGACAGACTTACCCTTATGTTTTCGTCTAATGCCAGCGGAAACCTCAAGATCAAACCTCTATTGGTTTATCACTCTGAAAATCCAAGAATTTTCAAGAAAAATAACGTTATTAAGTCCAAACTGCTCGTCCATTGGAAGTCCAATCAAAAAGCCTGGGTGACCGAAGTTATCTTCAACGAATGGATTCTGGAAACCTTTGCTCCTGCCGTGAAGAAATTCTTGCTGGAAAAAGAACTGCCGCTCAAAGCCCTTCTGATACTTGACAATGCCCCTTCTCACTCAAAAGACCTAGAGGAAATATTGCAGGAAAATTATCCTTTTATCAAGGTGCAGTATTTGCCACCAAACACCACATCCATTCTTCAGCAAATGGATCAGCAAGTTATTGCGAACTTTAAAAAACTCTACACTAGAGCCCTCTTTGATAACGTGTTTGAAGAATGCGAGTTTGGTAGAGACAATATGACTGTCCGAAAGTTTTGGAAGGAGAAATTTGATGTCTTTATGGCAATACGACTTATACAGAAGGCCTGGGAAGAAGTGTCACAAAGGATCCTCATTTCTGCTTGGAAGATGCTTGTGCCTTCGTGGACCCAGGATGTTTGAGTAGTTGTTGAAGCAACCAGGAAGAAGCAGTAGTTGATGACACAGAAGTAGTGAAGGGCATCATCACAGTGGCCCAAAGGTTGGAATTAGAGGTAGAGGAAAAGGATGTAGAGGAGCTTATTGAGGAACACGAAGAAGAGCTGACACCTGACGAGCTCCAAGCACTTCTGGTCCAGCAACAGGACAATGCTCAAAGGGAAGCGTCATCTGATAACGAGGAGCAACAATCAAACAATCAACCAATCCCAACTGCAGACATCAAGAACATCCTGATCAAATGGAAAGCAGTTCAGGAGTTTACCAATGCCCACTATCCGGATTCAGCTGAAGCAAACAGGATCAACGATCTTTACTCCGATACTCTTGTCCGTTATTTCCGGCAGATGTTGGAGAAAAAGAGAAAAACAAACGACTTTGGACAGGTTTTTCATGAAACCATCGGCCAAAAAGCAGAAAATGGATGAAGATGTGCAAGATTCGGTAGACTCTACTTAGTCTGTCTTAAAATTAAAAAAATGTGTGTTTTTTTTAAAAAAATTATGTTTTTAGATGTATCTAAATAAAAATAATAACAAAAAATTTATCTTTTTTTATGTCATCTTAGCATATTTTATGCTACAGAACGAATTATTTTTTTAACATGTATTGTTATGGGAAAACGCGTTTCACATAACGAACTTTTCGCATAACAAACTTCCTCCTGAAACGAATTAAGTTCTTTGTGTGAGGTACCACTGTAATACTTTTCTAATATATTTATTTTATTATCCAAAATTATTTTCTAATTAGCAGAAAGGTACGGCGTAAGTTTCAGTGATCAATTGTCAGAAAGGCGTAAGTTTCAGTGATCAATTGTCAGAAAGGCGTAAGTTTCAGTGATCAATTGTCAGAAAGGCTTAATAATAATACAAGGAAATAAGCTTATTTTACAAATGCCTTAAGGCATAAGAAAAGTAACTTCTGAAATATATTAAAAACTAAAAAGATGTACATATACCATAGAAATGATTTTTAACTCTAAACAAAATTACTGGTTATCGTTTCGGAAACAAAATTCAATACTTGCCCATAGTAAGACCAACTTGTGAAATATTTTTTGCCAAACTGCAAATCATTGTGTAAGGAGGAAAATTTCCAAACGCCATTTTGAAATTTTTAGTAATATGACTAAAATCATAAGACACTACCTTTTGATTAGTAGCATGGGTTGTTTGAACTAACTAAGAAAAAAACTTTTAAATTGCATCAGTATTATAACGAGATAATACACTTTAAATCACAAAATACAGTAAACTGTCTGTAAGACAGCCAGACACAGCTGCTATAAAAAATTTTCTATGAATGTGGTTGTCTTAGAGATGGGATAATTGATGGTAATGTTATTTATGTTGTTAAATTACTACTTTTTTCGTCCTGGTAATGTTCTCTGTCTATACATTTTGAATCTGAAATAATGCATTCAGCACGGCATGCACACTGGGTGTAAGGAAAGAGAAGCAACAGAAAGAAACTGGAGAGTATGGTTAAATGATAAAAACCAAATCCTTAATACCACTATTGACAGAAAGAGACCAAAATGCAAATAAGAGGCAAATTTCCTTAAAAGCTAACAATGAAGAGGGATTAAAATTAGGAATCAATGGTTAAAACCATGGGATTTTTATTGATATAAACATCAAATGCCAAGTGAAGTGGTGTTTCTCCCCACCCCGGTATAATTTTTCGATGTGGAGAAATGGAAAACATGATTTTTTTTAACTGGCAATCGTAGGCAATGCAGAATTTATGAATTTCTTTTCTTTGAATAATTTTAATTTTGTCACACAGCCGTTGTTCAGTACAAAATTTAGGACACGCATCTCTGCTGTTTGGAGGGAACTTAAAAAAGAACTCTGTGAATATAATTTAAAAAAAAAAATACGGGTCACTAAGATAAATAAAAATTCAGATTCTTTTCTTGTGTTCTAACATATGTAATTATTACTTCAGTAGATTCTAATATTTATTTTATAATCATGCATTATTACTGCTTAGGCAACAATACAGACATATATAAATTTTCACTATTTTTTACTGTCATTACATGCACAGTTGCTGTTTTTTATTAACAAGAGAACTGAACAAAGCATATCAATACTTTTGTATCAGCAATATGAGTAAGTTTTTGTTTATTAAGACTTTTAAAGTTCTCACGATGAATTAATTCGAATAATAGAAATAATTGACTGTAGCATAGAGATTTATTAGTATTGCGTCCAGTCTCGTATACAGCAATGGAAAAAAATTATATATGAAGAGCGGCCCTTAACAATTCCGCAAGATTTTCCATATACAACCTTACCACAATTCCGCATAAAACGTAAACAAAGTATCGAGATTCGATAATCGTTACAAATTTCGTAATCGATTACAAAGTGCAAAGCTATCAGCTATTCATCATCGATGGGGAAAGGAAATTCTGGGCCATCCGAAAAAGTGGTGATTTTAAAGGGAGCCTAAAATATTCCAGAAGCAGTGCGCTTCTATTAGAGAGGTGGCGCCATTCTTTGGCACCGGTGAGAACTGTGCTTAAATCATGTTTAATCATGCTGAAAAACTGTGTTTAACATCGGCTTATGGGTGTCGCTATATATTGGGGGTGTCAGTAAACTTCAGGTAAAATACTTCTGAGCTTAATTTTCCTCGTCTGAGAATTCAAGTACAATCTTCACTGCTGAATGTGCGATGCCTAATTTTTCTGTATTGGATTTAGCGTTCTTGATTTTTACTGTGACATCGTTCATGTCTTGAATAAATTTGAACACTTTAGGATTTTGAAAACCTTGAGATATAGAGTTATTATCTTCTGGTGGGATCTTCTGTTGATTAAAGACGGAGCTAAAAGGGATGTTTCGTTGAATTTCTTTAACTTCTTATTTGAATACAAGAGCCGGAAAATCTTTAAGATTGGGAATTTCTTGGGTTTTCTCTGCAGGTTTAGGAGTTTGAAAACGCTTTTTGTAGATCGTGCATCCACGATATGACGATACATGTTCTCCACGGCAAAAATAACAAATGGGTTTCTCTTCACGTTTTAAAGTGCACGTATTAAATCGGTGATTCTGTGAACATTTACAGCTATTCGTTAGGAAGCTATTCGTTTGGAAATTCGTTATAAAGCAATTCGTTTGAGAGCGAACATAGTTCTGACATTTAAAGCATTGGATCGGACTTTTAGTTTTAGGTGCATATTTTTCAATAGTGATGTTGAAGTTAAAAATATTATTTACGTTGAATATCGCTTCTCCGGCTTTATTCCTTTCGAGTTCAATGAAGTAGATAGTAGTTTTATGAAATCGTTTTCTATTTTCTTAGTGAATTGTTTAACTTTCAGCACTGGGAATTTTCTATTTTTTAGATCCTCGAATATTGCAAGTTCGGAAATACTTCTGAACATATCTTTAAGAATGACTTTAATGGTAGCTTGGGAATAAAGTTGATAAGTGTGAAATTCAATGCATGTTTTCTTTAAGAATTCGATGGAGCTGTTGTAATCCTCTTCAGTTGATGTATTTAAGTAAACTCTCCTGGCTTTCATTTGGGTTTCATATTCGTTTTTTAGGATTTTAGTACTTAAGGTATTTTGTAAATCTATCCAATCTAATTGTTCTTGAGTAATAACAATAGGTGGAATTTTTACTTCTGTTTTTTCGTTAATTTTTTCTCCGGTAGTTTCCTTAATCTGTGTATTTTTTAAGGGTTCGAATCTGTTGGTATGTTCTATTTCTTCTTTTTCCCTGGGTTTTAAATTAGGTTTGCTTGTTTTTGAGGGGTACTTCCATTCGTATTTCTCATTATTGATGGTGATTGAATCTGGTAATTGCATACGGCTAATTGCTCTGGGGATGATCTAAATCTTCTTGTTCTCTTTCATTTTCTACGTAAGTTTTTTCGTCCGCTGTTCCCGAATCCTTTAAATTCGATTGTTCAGTCATGCGTTCTTGAGATTTATCTAGGATTTCTGTAAATATTCCTTTTCTGATTAATGTAAATTGAAGGGGTTCTTCAGCTCCTGATCTGAATCCTTGAATTAAGTTTGGGAAGATATCTTTATATTTAGCCATAATTTCGAGAAATTCTTTAGTTTTTGGTGTCTCAGGAATAGGGAAGCTACTTTTCTTGATTCTTTTAGTCTGCTGCAATTTAGCTTCTGAGCCTGGGGAGTTTTTGATGAAATCTTTAAATTTTAGTTTTCCGCTATTCTTAGATGAGGTGGAATAATCTGAGTCGTGATCCATTTCGCTATCGCTGTCATGCCTACTCCAACGCCGATCTGGTGATTTTTTGGCCGCCATGAGGAAGAAAGAGCAAAATACAGCAATTCAAGATGCGTGCGGCGCCAAGCGACGCTAACCTCTGAATCGCTGAAATTCTAAGAAAATTGATAATAAATAAACAAATAGTTCTCCCCCTATCCCGACCCATTCATGATGGGTTCTGAATGAATTCGAGGAAACAGGTTAGGCCAGGGATCTCTGTCCGTTAAACACTGATAAGAGGTGGAGAGTAGGATAATAGCCAATAACGTTTAGTGGAAATGCAATAGTCTAGGCATGTAGGCATGGGCTTCTTTACACAGAAAATAAATACAGATGATTTTAACACACAGTATAATAAAAACAGTCTGTATTTTCTCCGTTAAACGAGGAAAAAGGAAGAGTTAATCGAAGTGATAAGAATTTGGTTCGAATTAATGACAAATTTGTAATATTAATTTTAATACAAAATTTTGGGAACCTTTGCATTAGTTCGAATTAACGAGCGTCCACTGTAATACGTACTGTTACATACCACAGAATTTTCCTTCATAATAAATGTCATTTTCTAACTAAATTGACCTATTTTACTTTGATGAAAAATTAATGTAAATGCAATGATGACAGCAGCCTGGTCTCGAAAACGAACTTTCGAGGAATTCATTAATTTATTGGAAGAGTTTTAGAATTCATTCTCTTGTATTA